CTGATCTGAGTTTATTTATGAGCTGATCTGAGTTTATTTATGAACTGATCTGAGTTTATTTATGAACTGATCTGAGTTTATTTATGAACTGATCTGAGTTTATTTATGAGCTGATCTGAGTTTATTAAAACCTGAACTTTGAGCGTCTTCATGAAACGAGCAGAGACGAAGTGACTCACACAGCAGAACACCTCAGACACTGAGCTGTCTTCAAACTGCCCGATGATGATCCGAACGTCTCCATCCTGCAAAGGAAGAAGAAGAACCCAGTCTGGAACCAGAACCTGAAGGACCAGAACCTCCTGCTGCTCTCTACCTTCAGCTCCTTCAGGCGGCCGCAGGCGTCGTCAGAGAAGCTTCCTGCGGCGGCCAGCTGAACGTCGGCCTTCAGCAGCTGTCGGATCAGATCCTTCTTCATCTGCAGAGACACACGGGTCAGACAGAACCACACCTGGAAGCAGTGAAACCACACCCACCGGTCCCGTGACCCGGGTCTCAGTCACCTCAGCCAGTCCAGGACGGTCTCCGGTGATGAGCCCGACTCTCCTCCACCTGTACCTGTGCAGCAGCTTCACCACCGCCTGGTTCAGGGCTCGCACCGACGGCACCGTGCTCAACAGGTTCGTGTGCCGCTTCCTGTTGGACAGGCTGAGGGGCGGGGCCACGAAGGACACCTGTGACATCAGAGGAACATGAAACCAGCCGCTGACACCGAACTGTAACACGATGAAGAGGATGAACGCTGCACCTGCACCAGGCTGAGGGCAGGCAGCGCACGAGCCATGAGCGCCGTCACCGCTGGACACGCCCCCCCGAACACCAGCAGGTACCTGGGCCCCGCCCACATGCTGTCAAACAGGACTCTGAGGGCTTCAGCAGGATCGCACTGAAACATGTCGAAACACACGAGTTACTGGGTAAATAACACCTGAAACTCTTCATCACCATCACCATCATCATCATCATCAYCATCACCATCATCATCATCATCACCATCATCATCATCAGGAAGTGTTGGAGGAAAAACCATAAAGATGTGAGTGCACGTGGCCTGCTGCTGCTGCATCATGTGTCATCAGAGCTCGTTTAGTTTGATGTCGATCAGTTCAAGACTTACTGCAAGAAAACTAAATAAATAAATAAATAAAACTTATTTCTGTTAAAATAAAATAATAAAATCTGCATTAAAAGCTGCTCCTGTTTGAACAGATATAAACAAACAAACAAACAAACAAAGAAACAGGGTTCTGAGGGTTCTGTGGACCTGCACACCCACCTGACAGTCCAGCAGCTGCAGCTGGATCTCATAGTTCCCCAGAGGTTCTGGTTGGTCCTGCAGGTCCTGCAGAGCCAGTCTGACCGCTGGGACCAGTCCTGCTGTCAGGTTCTCCCTCCCTGACCCGGAGCCGGTTGGCATCATCCACAGAACAGGGACGGGGTGCCGGACCCGGGTCAGAACCGGTGCAACTATCAGCCAGACCAACAGTAGCAGCTTTAACGCCCCCTGAACCTGTCCAGTCCAGACCATCCTGTGGTCCTCCTGCTGATCCTGCAGACCTGTGGTCCTCCTGCTGATCCTGCAGACCTGTGGTCCTCCTGCAGACCCTGATCCTGCAGACCTGTGGTCCTCCTGCAGACCTGTGGTCCTCCTGCAGACCCTGATCCTGCAGACCTGTGGTCCTCCTGCAGACCCTGATCCTGCAGACCTGTGGTCCTCCTGCAGACCTGTGGTCCTCCTGCAGACCTGTGGTTCTCCTGCAGACCTGTGGTTCTCCTGCAGACCTGTGGTCCTCCTGCAGACCCGTGGTCCTCCTGCAGACCCGTGGTCCTCCTGCAGACCTGTGGTTCTGCAGACCTGTGGTCCTCCTGCAGACCCTGATCCTGCACAGAGCTGCAGTAATCCTCAGAGCTGTGAGCAGCTGAGGACTGAGGGGACCTGCTGAGGAGATAACAGGATCAGCAGCTCAAGCAGCTGTCAGGAAGCTGAACTCAGCTTTAAAGAACCTTTGAAGAAGATTTGTTAAAGCAGAGACCCACCTGACACAGACCCACCTGACACAGACCCACCTGACGGACCCACCTGATACAGACCCACCTGACACAGACCCACCTGACAGACCCACCTGACACAGACCCACCTGACACAGACCCACCTGACACAGACCCACCTCAGAGAGAAATATAATAGACTGTATTTATTCATGTCTGATCTTTAATACATTCATTGTTTTGAGTCTAAAAAACATAAATCATGTTTGAAGCAACCACTCATTGTTCAGCCGCTGCGCCCCCTGGTGGTGAAACCTTTAGAACACTTGTGTTCTGCTGCAGAAGGTTCTGGTTCTGTCTGTGAAAAAACAAACTGCAGATCAGAAGCTGGTTGTTAATTATTGAGAGGGATTTATCAGAACATGCAGCAAAAGTCAAGTTTGTTTTTACATGGCTGGGTTTACAAGACGAAAACAAGTTGTTGTTTCTGACTCCGAGTAAAAAAACTACAGTTCATATGCTTTGCTGCCACGTTTAAAACTACCCCCTGCCACTTTATGGATGATTTTTAGGGTTAAATCTCTGGTATTACACATGAATAAATGCAGTAATAACAGAACAAGGTGGTGTTCAGAGCAGAGAAAACAGATTTTATTTGATGAGACACTTTGTGTTTCTGTCAGTGAGCTGCACTCAGTCCTGATCACTGAAACATGACACCCTGGAGCCTGCTGACAGGAAGCAGCAACAAAAACAACTTAAATATTTGTGTGTGGTGAAGGTGCTGTCCTGTCCTCTAAGTCTGTCCTTTAGTTGAGTCTCTGGAGCGTCCAGGCTGTCGGCCCGGTCCCTTCCCCCGGCTCCCTCCTCCTCCTCCTCTCTTCCTCCGGGGTCCGGCCCGCCCTCCTCCCTCCTCCCTGACGGCGGCCTGAGCCCACAGGGCGTCGTAGCGTCCGGGCGCCTGGTAGCCCGGCTGGCTGTGGTCCAGAGGCTCCCTGGAGAGGAGGATCCAGACGGTGGGCAGGTTCCTGCTGACGGTGAGGCTGTCGAGGCCGGCGGTGGGCTCCCGGGGCTCCCACACCTCCAGCACGGTGCTGTAGGTCAGCCTGGTGAGCTGGTGGAGCCCCTTCACCCGCCGCTTCACCATCTCAGCACACGTGATGGCTTTGGAAACGCCCTTCCCCGTGGAGGTGAAGACCATCTGTGTGCAGGGGGGCCGGCCCGGGGCTTCCTGCTGTCCCTGCTGACTGCCCCCCTCAGGCTGTGCCCCCTCCCCCTCCTCGGCTGGTCGGGGGTCTGCGTCCATGCGGCTCAGAGCGAAGCGCAGCAGGTTCCTGATCTTACTGCCATGTTTGACCCGAAGCTCCGGTGTGTCGGAGGAGACAGAGAAGGGACAGACGGACGGCTGCTCCACGACCCGAGCTCTGCTGTAGTTCTCCATCTGCACACAGACACACACTTTATATACGTTACACAATTCACTCCTCAAACACAACAATCATTTTTACACTTTAAACTAGTTTAAATAAAACTTTTAATCAAAGCAGTGATAAAAGAAATGACAGCATAATTTACCAACAAATTATACCTGTTATATGTTCATCTTGTCCTCACATTTGAAACAAGTTTCATTTTATTACTGCAGCTTTGATTTAATGTGGGATAAACATGGATTTATTCTTTATTACAGCTTTCAACCTGGTTTATCTGTGAGCCATCATGTCAAAATGAGGATTAAGTCTAATTTGGTCAAAATGACCTAATTACATTTTCAGGTTCTTGGCTTTAAAAGCTACATTTTGATACCTGGATCATTCTGA